GTAGTTGGGCTATAGTTGCTCTGCTACTGCAGGATTAGGCAAAGTTTTTGAATTTTGAGCACATTTTGCAGTTGGAGAATCATTTCTGGGCACCAACACAAAATTGTTGCAATGGGAAGCACGACTAAGGAAGCTTAAGCTGTATGCTGAGTAAAAGGCAGAGGTGGAATCTGAGCACCAACACACTAAACAACTCCTTTGAACTCGCACTAGTTCAACAGAAACTTTTTCCGTAGCTTTTTTAAAGTGGGAGGGGAGGGTACCTTGACAGGAACCAAAAAAAACGTGTCTGAAGACACACTAGACTAGTGCCTATGGATACCACAACGCATACAGACACCACATTTCCTCCTAGCTGTGCAAGTGGACCAGCACCATGCAATTCTTCTGCATTTTTCCCCTAGTGCAGCATCGGATATAATCCTATGCTGCAAAGCAAAATACTATTTGCAGTTTAAAAAGTGTACTACTGTCTTCATGGAAATACTTTCATCCTGTAAGACTTACAATAACATTTACAATAAAATTTAGACTGACTGCAGTGCACAGGATCTAGTCACCTACTGTTAGCATATGCAGAGTTTGAGAAGCTCAGAGATTTTGCATTTTTATTTTCATTTAACACTTAGGTAGAGATTATACTAATGGAATCAATTACAGAGATTCTCTTCTTCAAAACAGATCATCATACACTGAGTATCTTGTCACAAGTAAATTCTACTCTGACTCCAGACTCCTTTCACCATTCCTTGTAATCTACAACATTTGTCAATACAGTCATGACACCTCCTGGATGTCCCTACCAAAACAGCCTGAGTTCTGCTACATTCTGCAACTAGGCCAAAGAAAACTATAAATTTGAGTCCATCATCACAAAGTGCAAAATTTAGTGCAGAATTCTAGGATTCTTTTTTAAATCTTCAAATGGTGGTGCATTTCTTAACTTGGAAATTGTACTAGCTGTACTTTACTCTTTCAATTCTTACATTTCAGGAGATATTTCTTTTTGCATGAAAAACCACCTACAGGGCATGACATACCTTTGTGGATATTTTTTTGTTTCAGACCAATTTTCATGCATCTGGATTCAATTTTAAGTTGCAGAAGACTGGCCATTAGGCTCATTTTTATCTCTCCCAAACTCACACAATACTCATGTTAACTTGCTGCCAAAAAACCAGTTTAGCCAAAGAAGTGCATCGAACTGCCGTTGATACTGTGGTGTACAGATTATAGAAATACAGCATGAAGACTAGAGAGTGTATATCCATTTGTAGGTGGCATCTATGCTCCATCCACTGCTTTATAGGAGCTTAGCGTTTATCCTTTCCATGCTGCCTTTTAGCCATCAAAAGGACAGAGAAAATCCATTGACACTCCACATTTGTTAATTTTTATAAAACAGTTAAAACAGTTTTATAAAACTGTTAACCCTAAAACAGTTAACAATTTTAAAATGCATGCATATCAGTGAATATTAATGACTGTTTAAATATAAAAATTTATCTGTGTAATGCCCTCTTCCCCAAAAGAAGCAACTATTGAACACTGTCAACATTTATATTTAAAAGAAGCAGTAGTTGTACTGCACTCCCAGCAAGTATCTGATTGCCCTAATTAGCTGATTTTATAATTGCCTTATACATCGCACCATCCAAGAGGCATGAAACGTATATTTTTGCTAAATAACATACAGTCTAAGAGCCATAAATACAACCAGTAAATGCCAAAGTGGAAATCCACAGATCAGGCATTTCAGTGGTGCCAACAGCGGTTTCTTAAATTCCAAATGTGCCCACAGTTTCAAAAAGGTAAGGGACTCCTGGTCTAGGTGTCCCTAAATGATTTAGATTCCAGATTGCAGTACAGTGACTTCAGGCCCTGCCTGCTGTACCTGAGACCAGCTCTTGGAATTCTATTGTTAACCTACCATTAAGTCTGAGGAACAGCACAGTGACCAAATCAGCTGGTTACCAACTGTATTCTGAACATGCAGCAGCAGACAATCTTCATTCCCAGAAGAATTTATCAGTGGTTTTTAAAATTTTATCTGTCTCTTCTTTCCCATAAACACATCATTCTCACATTTCAGATTTTGTGTTCGGTTTCAATTTTTAGATCTGGTCTTAAGATAAGGCAGCCCTTAAGATACCCTAAGTGAGTCTAGCTGTCAACTGAGATTGTTGCCTTAGGCACCTAGGGGTGTTCCTGCCAAAGATGGTTAAGCGGCCATCACTGTAAAGGGGGCGCATGATGCCCTTCGCCCCCAGCATGTCTGCCACCTCACAAAGGACACTATACTGTTTGTAGTTAAGTTAGGTTTCGTTTTTAAAGGGATTAGTTTTTATTGTTTGTAAATCACCTTCAGGACATTTACTATAAAAGGCAGGCTATAAATTCTATAAACATAAATTAATATTTGACACGGTCTAGAGTTGCTGAGTCAGAGACCACAGTAAACTTTCTATAGACCCCCCGCCTTTCTTCTAAATGTCTCATTTGTTGATAGATTTATTGTTCTCAGTGTCCTTTTAAGGGTTCTACTGTTGATTTCTATTTGTTCTCTATTTCATTTTTTATTTTTCTAAAAAATTACAAGAGGTCCAACAAAGATTGGGAATGGGTAGAGATACATTAATATAAAAACAGCTTTACGCTCTGTGCTGGATGAATACCAGCTTCAAGTTTTCTTCCCAGCTGGAGGTATCTTATCTTTTTTTTTTTTCTCTCTCATAACCCTAGCTTTCTTCCTCACTCAAAATTCTAGCTGCTGTTCCTGCTCCTTCAGGTCAAGCATTCTCACTCATTTGTGTTTCTAGACAGAATTTGTGTGGCATGCCATTAAATTTATCAATTTCCTTGATCATTTCTTTACATACCTGTTAAGTGCCAGTTTCCACCATTTCTCAGCATAGGACAGAGTTATGCTATCCTGCTAGGTTTTTTGTTTCTTTGTTTGATTTGGGGGGGGGGGGTTTCAGAGGGATGTATTTAGGGGGATTTCTTTAAGCATAGCAATTTCCCCCTTCCCACTCCCTCTTATCTTTCAAAATTTCCCACCTGTCTAAGTAAACACTTCAGGTGAACAAAGCTGACACACAGCGCTGGTTCTGCTGTGACATTTCAGTCCAATAATTTATTATTCATCAGACCAAAACTGAGTCTCATGCCTCCAGACTGTCTCCTTGCTCCTCTTTCTACAGTAGGATCAACCTTAGTAAATTAGCAGCATTTCAGCCCCGCTTTCCCATTTTAGACCTAACAGGAAACCTGTTGATTAAACCACAACATCTGAAGCCAGGCGCACAAGAGAAGGAAGTCATCAGCATAAGGCACATTCTTGGTCTGAGCATGGCTCATTGGACTGGAACAGCTGAACCAGGTCAGAACCACAGAAGTATGGAATGACATTATCTAAGATACATTAAGTTTTTATTATTTTATTTTGGCGATTAAGGAGTAGTTGATAGGAAGTACTAAAGGTGTTGATAGGGAATATTTTTTAAAAAACATGAGAGATTAAAGAGTTTGTAAAAACTTTACAGTGAAGTTACAATTCTTCCTATTTATCAGTTTTTTCATGTAAGTATTGCTAGTTTTTTCACATTAAAGCATCTGCATTTGAGTACCAACATATATATTTATTCATGATAAAACTAGACAACTATGCTAGAAAAGGAGAGACAAGATTCATAGCAACATCAATGTAAGTAGTAGTAATAAGTGAACTCACTCCAGCAAAAACTGTAATTTGCTTGCAAGGTTCCAAGTTTCTCTGTCTTGTCTGGGATAAAAGTTGCCCATTGCTAAAGTAGCTTGCCAGCAAACCACCCCAGATTGCACTGCTCCCTTCCCAGCCTCCTTTCCTTTAATAGCATCAACAAGCAAACTTAGAGTCCTGGACTGAGTAGAGGGCTGGACTCGGTGGTTTTATAGGCAACTTCCAACTCTGCTATTCTGTGATTTTAAGCACTCCTGGCAAGTGCAGCCATCTTCAGAGACACTATTTCAGCCCACAAACACTCTCTTGGAATGGCCATGTGACCATTCCACATGATGTTTTCTGGCATGGTCACATGAGAATTCCAGGAAATGTCTGCTGGACAGAAATGCTATCTCTGAAGGCAACCATGGTGCTACAAGCAGGAAAAAAAGTTCCTAAAGTAGTAAGAGCTTCAAAAAAGCTCTTTTCTGGCTGAACAGGCTTGCGGTCTCTCTCTCTCTCTCTCTCTCTCTCTCTCTCACACACACACACACACACACACACACACACACACACACACACACACACAGTGGACCATGCAGACACTCATGAACAAGTTCAGAATGAATAATGAAACTTGCAAGATAGGCACCCAAACTCGGCACACATACAAGTATAACAAAAATAGTACATTAGTTTTTAAAGGTAAAGGTTTCCCCTTGAGTCCAGTCATGTCTGACTCTAGGGGGCGGTGCTCATCTCCGTTTCCTAGCCGAGGGAGCCAGCGTTTGTTCGCAGACAGTTTCTGTGGTCATGTGGCCGGCATGACTAAAAACCGGAGTGCATGGAATGTTGTTACCTGCCCACCGAAGTGGTACCTTTTTATCTACTTGCATTTACATGCTTTCGAACTGCAAGGTTGGCAGGAGCTGGGACAGAGCAACGGGAACTCACCCGGTTGTGCAGATTCGCACTGACGACCTTTCGATCAACCAGCCCAACAGCACAGCGGTTTAAACCACTGAACCACCTGCAGTCCCTCTAGTTTTAGGTACCTCCTAATTTCATGTTTTACAGACATCACTACTTAAAAGTCCTGATCATATCAATTTTTTAAAATGTAGGCACCCCATAGGAATATACAGCTGCAGAATATACTTTTGTAAGGGTATACAAACAATTTATAATTGTATACAAACAATTTACCAGTGGAAATAACAATGCATCACCTTTTAGGCAATTCCAGCAAAGGTCAAGGGGAAAACGGAATAATACAAATTTAAATGCATGCGCTTACCTTTTCTTTGGATAAAAATTCTAAGCAAGGGGTTAGCTGTAGAAACTGCTTTGTGGTAATTGTCATCATTGTTGATAGGCAAGAGATCTCCATGAATGTCTATATATCCAACTAAGACATCAATGTTCGGAATTTTATGAACATGCTGCAGTAATCCATAGAATTCCTCAAATTTGCCAGGTTTGGATCTTTCCAAAGAAAATCTTCGGAATTCTGCACCGAACTACAGGGGAAAAGAATACACACACATAAACATATGACTTGAACAGGAATCCATATTTACCTTTTTAAAAATTGAAGACATGAAATTCACTTGAATTTGCTAATAAGTGTGGGGTACATAGTTAGCACTAAATAGGAAATAATTGTCATTACGTACAAGCCCCTAAACAACCCAGGGCTCTGGGTTTGTATTACAGTCACAACCTATCAACTGGCTGGTAATAAACTGTCAATTAAAAGCATGTGGAAGGCCCACATGGACTAGCTAAGTATCAGACTAGGATGGGGAAGACACAGGTTCAAGTTCCTACTCAACTGTGAAAATCACTGGGTGACCTCTGAACAGTCAACAGCTTAGTCTATTCCCAAGATGGTGTAAGGATAAAATAAAGGGGAGAACCATGCATGCCAGCTTAAGCTCAATGGAAAAAAGGTGGAACATACATGTATATAATACAATTGTAGCCCAGATGCATATTTTTTAAAAGTAGCAACATACCTAAGAAAGTACTGTTGCTCCTTCTCCAAAAAGCCATCAAAATGGAGATGTACGACACATGCAAATTCTTCCCATCAATAGAAAGCAACTAACCAACCCACTGAATATAAATAAACTTTACCTCAATCCCCATACAAGCAAGCAATTGTATGGCATACTAGCATCTATGCCACAATACATAATAATGCAGTTAATGACTACACAATCACCCCAGTTCACCATGGCATCATGGGTTATGCAGGGGTTAAATAACCATCATAAAAGCTTTGCATAAACTATAACACCTGGATCTGTATGACACTACAAGCCACCACTGTTTGCATATTCAGAATGACAGACAGCAAGCTACCCATGCTGGCTTGTTGTCTTCTGCAAACAGGTTTAGATTTCAAGCAGGAATCAGAGTTAGAGATGCCACCTAACACAATTTCATTTCATGCCACAAACAAGGAAATAACTCCTTGCCCATATTCATTCTCCAGGGGATTGATTTAAATCAGGTGTATTTAAATTAATGATTTAAATCAGCAAGAAGAAAGCTTGATTTAAGTGAAATTTCTTATTAAAATGTTTTCAAGTATTTCTGAAAATGGTGCAAATCTGACTATTAAACAAGCTTACTTTATGGTTAATTATTTCAAAGCAAAAGTGATAAAACTGATACTGTCAACTGAGCCTGTTTGAGAAGGCAAGACTCCCCGGAAAAGACAATCATGCTCGGGAAAGTTGAAGGCAAAAGAAAACAAAGGAAGAGATGGATTGACCCCATAAAGGAAGTCACAGCCTTGAATTTTAAACAGCTAAGCAAGGATGTCACTGATAGGGCATTTTGGAAGTCTTTCATTTATAGGATCATAATAATTTGGAGATGACTTGATTGCACATAATTTCTTATAAGCAGGTTTGTATCTCTTTGTATGTCTTTGTTTCACCATATATTTTCTGTTTTTGTTTAAACTATATATTTGTTACACCCTTTCCTCTTTTTTACCTAAAGAGGGAATGTCCTTAAAATATTTCCATATGGTGTATTTCTAATGGCCAGTACTCATGGTAGTTTAGCAGAACAATCCTATACACATCTACTCAGAAATAAATTCCATTGAGTTAAGTGGGGTTTATTCTCAGGCAATTAATTATACAACTGCAGCCTTATTGTGCCAAAATAGGCAGATATGCACTTCACAATTTGGTTCAAAAATGAATGTTACAGCAAAGGTTGATACTTAGCGGACAGACTAGAACACCTTATTTTTTTATCATGTGAAAATGAAATACTTGTGTATGGTAGGTAAAGTGTCAATACTTGAGAAATGATCTTCACTTCCTTAGAACAACTGCCTTAATAAATTTAGCAGATGTGTTAATCTGGTTTAGAGATCCATTGTGTAGCTAAGTGTACCTATCTTATTTTTACAATTCAAAATTTTGTATGTTACAATATTTGAAACAATTCTTTAAAACCTGAGCTAAATTTTAAAAAATGATTCTATACACCCTAGCTCACATAAATATTGTACCCAAAAGAACTTTGCTTATGGGGCAGTATAGAAATAAATAAATAAATAAATAAATAAGAGCTATGAAAACCTAGAAAGGATATTTCAGAATTGGAATAAAGTGCAGAAAGAACAACAAAAAAGATTAAGTGGCTGGCATGCCTGCCCTCTGAGAAAGGGTCACATCTAAACTGTTTAGTTTATAGAAAAGGCAACTGGCAGGCGACATAATGATGTACAAAATTAGGTATGTCGAGGGGAAATGCAATAGGGACACATTCTTCCCCTTCTCTCTTAATTCTAGAAGCTGTAGTTAACCCATGCAGTTGATTGGTGGAAGAATCATGTCAAATGAAAGTAGTTTTTCCATGGGTTATGTGATTCCAAAATTTGACAATTCAGTCACCAATTCAGTTGGTTTTTGAAGAGGACTAGACAAATCCATGAAGATCAGTCTATCTACGGCAAACAGTCCTGATAACAATATTTGACTTCCAGTATCAGAGGGCAGTATGCCTATGTACACCAGTTCCTAGAGAACATGGGTAGGGCAGTCCTGTTTCCTTATGTCTGCTTGGTTTCTGTGTGAACAAAATAGTAAGTAAGATGAACCTTTGATCTGATTCAGCATGGCTCTCACACAGGACCAAATACACCCCCTCGTTCCCAGGTAACCAAGGCTTCAGACAAGATTTGTAAAGGTACTTATTTTACTGCTGAATCTGTAGCAATATGATGGTAACAAAAAGTGTGCTTTAGTTTAAACGAAGTTGTCTTGCACTAGGCAACCACAGCCTACCTCCGTACACACGCACACATACACACTCAGCAGGCAAATCTTGCAGGTCATAAAGCATAGTTTTCAGAAAACATTGTATCTCAGTACCTATGTTGTTATCCACTGATCCAATATAAAATGCCTATCACTGTTCCGTACTTTCCCCCACAAGCTACTGCCTCATGCCTGCCAAAATCCTCTTACCAGCACCACCTTTTGACCACTCTTCTGCCAAATACAGAGGAGCCAGTTTCATGGAATGGAATAGATCCTACTTCCCCATTGTACCTGTAGAACAGATGGGGACAGCCACTTCCTCTTCCCCTGCATATCCTCCAAATCTACTTCAGAGGTTGGGGGACCCTCTGGAGGAGATCTGGAGGACAACCATGTGGCTACAGGGAAGAGGAGAGGATGGAAGTCCCTGTCTGGTCCACAGGCGTAACGAGGCAGTTGGATTCAGTACGTGGCTTGAACATCAGCCAATTATTTTCCTCCTTCCATCTTTACTCTGGTTACCAGCTTGCTTGATGAAGAGTTTTACAGAACTTAAAGGCTTACACAGATTGTATTCGGAATCTGAATTAGTAAAGCAGATGGCATTAAGGCGTTCTGGATTTGATCTCCCCCCAGAAAATTTAGGCCAAAAAACCATGAATTTACTAATGATCACATTTCTCCCACTACTATTAAAGTGGGAGAAAAGCACCTACCTGAGCACAATTCACAAATTATACTAGAGAAATGTTTTAAGTCCAAATATGCATGAGTTTTAAAAATCTTAGATGCCAGATGTGTACAGAAATAAATTTCAGTTGTTGCTAGCATACTAAGGTAAGCTAATGTATCCCAAATTCAAAATAGAGGTCCGCCTGGCACCGTCGTTATTTGTTTTTCGGCGCCAGGCCAAGACCTTTTTATTTAAACACTATTTTAATTATTAAGGTTTATTTATTGATTTGAAACTGACCAGGCTGTTTCCATTATTTTATGTATTTTACTTATTCTATGGTTTTTTTTTTTTTTGCATTTATAGGCAGGATTTTAATGATTGTAAGCCGCCCCGAGGCTTATGCGAAGGCGGTGGCATAGAAGCTGTCTAAACAAACAAACAAATAAATAATTCCTCAGCACTCCACTTTAAACAGTCTTTAGTCCTGACACAGAAATTGGTGCTACACAGTAGTAACTGGGAGCTTAGGAACTTAGACATCAATATTTCCTTAACTAGGCAATTTTAACACAATTACTACAGCACTAAAACAAACACTTGATAGGGAAGCCTTGTGACATGGCAGAGTATCAGACCATAAGGAGACCCAGATTCTAGTCCCCACTTAGCCATGAAGTGCATTGGGTAACTTTGGGTCAGTCTCTGGCTCTCAGCCTAAGCTATCGCACAGGTTTGTTGTGAGGATAAAACGGAGAAGGATAAACACGTAAACCAACTTGAAAGAGGAAAAAGGTGGGGGATATAGATGCATTAAGACAAATTAGAAGTGATTGAAATTTAGTTCATACAGAGCCTAGGTTGTTCACTTGCATGTTATTCAGGAGTTAACAATAGTAACAAAAAGTTTTGTGACTTAAGACTTAAGCTGTAGGACCAGTTTGAGAAAACATCCATAACATATTGATAAAATGATAAAAGAAACTGAGTAACTTCCATGACGTTACTGGCCTTACGTAAGTCACCTACAAGCTATAGTACATGTAAGTTGCAGGCACATGAAACTGCTGATTATTCAAAAGTATTTTGGCCACTAAAAATCACCAGGCACTACCTTTTTCTCACTGGCATTGCAGTTATTTGCATATTGGTAATTTAATAAAAGAGGAGAATGTGAAATTAGCTAGCATACTGTACTTAGAGGAATTTAAGTATAAGGAATTCAACACAAAGTTCTTTTCTCTGTATGTTGAATTAAGTCTACATTATCTAGCAATGAAGCAGAACATATGACTCATTCTGTTTTGTCACACCTGTGCATCATGAAGTAAATTTAAAAATATACTTCCTTCAAATTAGATGAAGGCAAATTACAGGCAGCTTCCAGACATGATTTATACTGCAATAGCCAAGCTGTTAGTCACTCAGTTTTCCTGGGACTGCACAAGGTACAGGCATCCAACTACGACACTTGTGTTCTCTCCATGATCATTTCATCTTTTCCCATAATACACAAAGTATGATTTTTTTAAAGGAAGAATGGAGGAGCAGGCAT